GCATGCTGGTGTTTTCTTCCCAGAAAAAAGTAAAAGTAGTGTGTTTCTAACTTTCTTATAGTTTTAACTTTTATGTAATTTTTTAAAAAAGTATTTTAAATATATATATATATATATATACATATATATATATTTAGGGAAAATGCAAACATTATGCTTATTGCAGAAAGCAAATGTTTCCCTGACAAAAATTATAAGAGACAAAACAATGAGAGTAATTATTTTTACAAGGTCAAATATACTGTCATTCTTTCCTACATTCTGGATTTTCTGTCATATTTTGGTTAACACGTTATTAAAATATTATACATAATTTCTTGCCTTTTATACATTTTTCTTCTTAAAATATGTAGATATTTGACTAACCTAGAAATTAATTTGAAGAAAGGGGTAGGTTAGATATTTAGATGCTTTCAAATTATTGCTTAGTGAAGTTTACTGATTGATTCATGTGCTTGCAATGATAGGGCATTTTTATAAAAACTTAATTTTATTAATGTTTCTAAGACAATTACTACTGTTTTATATAGAAAGCATTTGGTCAGGGCTATCTTACATTCATTACTGTGGTTGTATATAATTCATTTAAACTTCTACTGAGATATTCCTCTCATTAGTTTTCATTTTTCTGATTCTTTACATATTTTTATAAAACTTCAGAATTTATGCGTCAAATTTCTAAAACCACTAGAGAAATAAAACTAAATTAAAAACCCTCTGGTATCCAATGATGTTACGAACTCCTGGAATACGTCCCTTTAAAATATTATCTTGTTAAGAAAACAAGTTTTAAAATAATCTTCAGAAATTTTCTTTCATTAAAATCTCATTGCTGAAAATGGCTTTCTTTCCACCCTTTTAACTTTCATTACTGTTTAATGCTCTTTACTTAAGAAAACCATGGGAACTTGCCTAACTTTTCATATTGCTTCTGAAAGTTTTCTATGGTTAATTCTTTTGGACTTTGCTTCAGTAAAATCATAAATTGTCTTTAATTTTTTGTTTAAGAGTTATTGCTTAATTTATTAATTTCTCCTTCCTTTTTACATTCCTTATATTTCTCACGTGATTTCACTAGTTTATAATAAAACAGGAACAATGGTAGTAGTGAAGAGTATGCTTTTTTTGTTTTATCTTTTACCATTCCATCCTAAAATAAAAATCAAGAAACAAAACTTTTGATTAGACCAGTAAATAAAGACAAATAACGGCAGATACACATTGCAGGGATATATTTTAAAATATTTAATTTCTTAAGGGGTTTTAAATGTAAGCCAAGAGCCAATATTCAATTTTTATTTATAGTATCTTTGGTATCTATTTGAAGGGGTTTTTTTTCATTCTTCCAACTTGTATATGTAATTAGTAATGTTATCTCTGTATGCTGAGGTCACATGTGGTTGTAATCTAGTTTGTTATTAACATTCTCTGGATTCAAGTTGATAAATTTACTTAAGGTTTTTCTTTCATCCCACCACATTCATTAGTGTAGTGGATCAATACGTTCCTTCCAAAGTTCTGTTTTATAATGTGGTTTTGATACCATACTTATGTGATCTGAATTTCTACATTATTTGGAAGGCTTTGCTGTACTTGCTATGACCTACAAGAACTTTAGCACTACTGAAATTACCTAATTTTGAATGTTTGATAGCATTTATTGATGAAATCCTCTAGGCTTTATGCTCTTTTGAATTTTGTTTTCTTTTGTTTTAGCTGATATAACTACTGTATAACATTCCTAGGCATATGGATTTGCTACTTTGTAAAAAAACCTGATTTACCTTCAGCTTTTCCCTTTCAATTTCCTTTTATTCACTGTCTCATTCTTGATCTTGTGTTTCCTAATCTTTTCCAGTTTTTGGTAAGGTATATTTGTTATGCAATATTTTAGTTTGTCCTGCGATATATCCTTTTATTTTTGATAAAGGGTTTTGCATGAGGAGTCCCTGCCCCACCACAATGGGTAGTTTTCTCTCACAGCTGTCATGCTGTTTCTTTGTTGAGGTTCTTCATCTTGATAAAGATGTTGCTACTGGGTTTTCTCACTTGCTCGGCTGTAGCTTGGGTGGATTCTCCTAATTCTGGTTGCACCAACCCTGGGTCTGCCTGTGCATCTCCGCTTCTTAGCAGAGTTTCAACTGGAGTTGGGTGTTGCTTGCTTTTCTTTCATTTTTTTTCCCATTGCTATTTTATTCTCTGGGATCTTTAGACAGAGAAAGGAAACAGTGTGTGGGGTTTTTATTTTTCAGTCTCTCCACCTTAATAGTTTCACAATTGGACCCAGTGACACTGTTTTCTAATTTATTTCTCATTTTAGGAAAGAGGTGATTGTATGCATGTCTGTATGGGTATTTGTGTGCACACACATGTATGACTGTGCTCCTCTACGATGCCAGTAACTATGTAAACAATAGAAGACCGTTTTAGGGAACAATTCAAAAATATATAACAATGTTTCATTTTAAAGACATAATTTTGGAGCCAGAAGCTGCACTTTAAGGAATATATCAAGTCTCAGTGTTATGTAAGCATGCCACTGCTGTGATGGTTATTTTAGAGTTGTCTATAATAGAAAACCACTTAGAAACAGCACAAGCATCTAATAATAGGTGTTCATTCAATACATGTTAAATGAATTATGCACATTCAGTAAAATATACTATTAGAAATTATACATCTATATGCTTAAATACATTAAAAGGCTAAAATAATAATCATGAGTATTTATGTAATCGTAGAATACGATTATTTCTATGAAAGAATGCCATTAGCTGTGAATAAAAAGCAGGGTTCACAATGATTACATCTATGTGGGAGAGGGTACAGTTAGTTTTCACTGCCTTTTATTCGTATGTTTAAGAACAATTATGAATTAGTTTTAAAATCAGAAAAACAGTAATGAAGTTAAAAAAAAAAACAAACTGAGAAAGACACACACTACCAGCTACCATCTCCAGAATAATAGCAACCATTAATTGAGTGCTCTTTGCCTAGTAATGTAAAGGTCCTTAACATAATTATCTCTCTTCACCCTCACAGCAGCTCCAGAAGGCTGAAATTAGTGGGTTTTTTTTGGTTTTTCTCTGGTACCTGGAACCGAACTCACGACCTTGTGCTGAAATTAGTGTTTTCAACTTGCAGTTGGGAAACCTGAGAAGTTAAAAACGTCCAAAGTCACCTGGCTCATGAAAAACATTGCCTGAATGGGAACAGAGTTAAATCTGACCCTAGCATCTCATAATCTTCCTGTGCCTCTCTGAACTCTTACATATATCTTGAGGCCTCTGCACATTAAAAGTTTAATTTAAAATCTCACATTTGAACTGTTAATAAAAAATTCACATTTGAACTGTAAATCCTTATTTTACTCTGAATATGAGTTTAAAAGAGGACTCAAGGGACAGAATAAAGACATAGCCAAAAAAAAAAAAGACAAAACAGAAGATATTAAAGTTCATACTTCATTGTAACTCACTGAGTACCTCTTCAACATAGTATTTTATGAAATACAATAAAGGCTCTTAAAGGGTCATTATTAATAAATTAATGTGGAGTAGTAACTCTGAAGCCATCAACTAAACAATTTAATACACAAAAGAAACAAATTTTCTTCAAAATATGCTCATGCCATGAAGGTATTCTGAATTTTTATATGGCTTTACTCAGGCATTAGACAAATTATATAGTGTGATTTGATTTGTGTTTTGAAAAATAAAACATTCTTCAACCATTTGTATTATAAATCCAAATTCCAACTTTCACTTATATTTTCTTCCATGTTATAAGCATTCTACACAGAATAGTACCCAATGAAGTCCATTTTAAGTTCAACAAAAGTTACTAACATAAAAAATAGCAACATTAGCATGGACATAAATGACATAGCCTGATGATAGCTCAGCCATAGTAGGTGCTAAAACCTACGGGAGATTAGGACCAAGATGATGGTTAAAAATCTTTTAAACATCTCTTTTTCTGGAGTCAATTACCACTCTCCAAATAATCTCCTAACAGGGAATAAAAAAGTAACAAAACATCAAAACAAAGTAGCAATTTACCAGATTCATCATACCTGTTGGCCAACCCAAAGGTAATTCAAGAAAGTACAAAAGATTTTGAAGTCAAAGTAATAAAATTAAGGAAGACCATAAGATATGATAGGTACAATAATGCAAGCTCATTTGTCATCCTTGTAAGGCCTTATATAAACATTCATAAATATTCAATATTAATCATTGTCTCACCAAGGAATAGAAATTAAAATAAAAGGAAATGTATTGGACAACTAGTAACTGGAAAGGTGGCTTGCTTAAAAAATTTCCAATCAAAATCCTCTTCTGACAATTTGCCAGTTAGGATGGAAAACATATGAGGATTCAGAAACCAAACTCTAGGTATTTACAAAAAATAAAACAAGACTGTGTTTGAAGTTCATTTGAATCACAAGTTGTGACCAAGAATAATGATAATTACTGCCTCTTAATTATTATGAAAGTGCCAGCCCTGCCAACTTACTTTAAAATAAATAACAATACAGCAACAAAGACTTGATGCAAGTGAAACATTCTTAGACACAAATCAATAATCTAGGACAGAAAATATCTGTTCTTGAATTCTGAACCAATCATAAGAGGTTTTACTTTCTTGCCCAACTAACAACAACAACAACACCCCACAAAACAAGAAACACCATCATATGTAATAGTACTTTAACCTCTCAGTACAAATGAAAAGAAATCTCAAAATAGGTTCCATTTATTTTCTTTAGGACAACAATAATTTTTCAATGGAACACTGAAGCTTAGATCCACATTGAAAAATAATCCTAGGCAACTCCACTGGGGTCTTATGAGAACATTTAACTTATCCCCAAATCTCTATGGACACATGAAAATAAATTATATGTAAAGATCCCAAACATTATTTTAAAGGGAACAGCTAAACAAATTGGTCCCAACAGAAATACAAATAAATGGATTAAAAACTGGCTATCTAACCGTATACAGAGAGAAATCGTAATTGGTAGTCCGTCTAGTTGGGGAGAGGTTTCCAGTAGGGTCCCACAAGGATCGATATTGGGTCCCATTTTGTTTAATATCTTTATAAAAAATCTGGAAGACAAAGTAGAGAATGTGCTAATTAAGTAGACTGATGTCAGTAGATTAGGATTGGTGTTTAAAGTAAATTGGATATAGATAAATGCTACTGGTCTTTACAAAGCATAAAGAAAGACCAACGCTAATAGAGAATGGGAATGCTAATTAATCAAGTTTTTAAAAATGTATTATTATTTTTGAAATGTAATTCCAAGTATTAGAACTAGATTGAAAAGATATTAGCAGCTTTGCATTACAAAAGATTATGCACAAAAGAGAGAGACAATACAGAGTCATAACACCCATGAATGTTGAATAAAGAACACCCAAAAATGGAGATCTTCCCAGTGTGGCTTTATTTACAGAATTGCTGGTTCTGAGATTCTCAATATAATAATGACACTGGAGGAAGTTCAAATGCGCAATAACCAAGGTGGTGAAAGGCAAGAATAGCTACATTCTGGAACATGCATACACTTAGCAATTGGCAGAAAAACAAACTCAGAAACAACATAAAACTTTACTTTGAAAAAGGAGAGTTGAAAATTTGTCTGGGTGAGCAAAAATAGGGAGGAAAATCAAGCAAAGGTAAATTCTATTAGGACACATGTGGGCACACACACACACACACACACACACGCATACGCGGCCAAGCACGCACACTGGAATCTGAGGGACAACAGGAAGGATTATCCTAACTGTAGGATAGGGATTTTGTATTGTTTCCTTTTGTTATTTTCATGTTTTAGAGAGGGATTGTATGCTTTGAGCTATGGAAGAAGACATTTGGGAAAAATATTCATAGATCTCATATTAGTTTAAAGCATATTTTAAAAATATTAACATTTTCCAGTTTCACAGGAGGACATGGGCAGAGAGGCATTTGTTTATGGACTTTCATGTGCAGGTAGGTGAGATTTTTTTTAGGTGAAGTCAACTGAGCTAAGCATATGTGCTAATGTGGGATGAGCTTTTGAATTTTACTTCATTTTTATTTTGTTAACACAGTGGAATTGTCATTGAATATAAATAGGAAAAATCCCAGGTCTCAAAATATTTATTAATTTTGCTATGCAAGCTTAATTACTGAACTTTCTTAAAGAACTTGACTTTTTACACTAGTAAAATGAAAGGACAGGGTTTGTAAGCGCTGAACATTTTCTTCTTCGGAGTTAAAAGACATTACACAGAAAAGACACAGAAAAAATGTGCAAGTATTTGTGAAGTTCCCACATGCACCAGCTTCCCATTTCCATCTTCCTGACCTCAGGACAAAGCAGTTTAAAAACAGTCTGTCATGGCAAACCTATGGCACTAGTGAGGTACCAAACTAGGTGTTATCACTGAAAGCCCCACAAGGTTCGCCATCACTGGTTTAGGTGCTGAGGCATATCACTTCCTTCTCTAGGAAACTACCAGAGGTGAAAAATTCAATTCCTCTCCTACACGCTGATACATTTTGAACAGAAGACAATACTTCGCTGATTATACGTGCCCAATCTTTGAAGGAAAAATAAGCTTAGAATTACAGTTAGAAAGAAGAGAATGAAGGGACAATTCTGCTAAGAAGTGATGGCATTATTAATGAGGTCAGCACAAAAGAAAGCCCTGTACAATCAGGACCTGGTGTAAGATCCTTTTTAACTTTTCATGCTGGGCTATGTAAGAACCATGGGGATCTGGAATGTTAAATGGGCATGCTTTTATTTAAGCTAATCAATATGGCTACAGGTATCCCGTCCTAAGAAATAATTGATAAAGTTTGACATAGGGGGTTTGCTATAAATTCTACAGACAATAGCCATTGGAAAAAAATGGCATTTTGGCTTTAATATTAAAATTTCTGTTATGCAACATTCCTTTTAAGATAATATTCTCCTTTAGGGATGTGAATGAATTCTACATCCTAGACCATGTAAGATACACAAGCTCGGGTCTTCCATATGTCAGAAGATGATACGTTTTATTTTAAAAGTAACATTATCTAGTACTAATATTTTATTCCTATTTACCAATTACTGAGTGCTTACCATGTACTAAGAAGTATGTTTTCCTCTTTATACATTATCAAAATAATCTTTGTAGTACTATACTGCGAGAACAATTAACCCCAGTTTACAGAAGAAATACGTGAAGTGTCAGATAAGCTGATTTTATCTATTGTCACACAGTCATCAAGGGGAAGGCAAATGTTGAAGCTGTCTTCAACATATACAATCAGTTATATTGTGCTAAATCACAACTGAGAGTATCTTGCTGCATTGTGTTGATCAAAGAAAATGGCAGTTCTCCATAATGCTAACACATACAGAGTATCAACATAAGAGTATTTTTTCTGGGCCTCAGTTCGTCACGTTTGAGGCTGAAGAACTGAATGGTTTGCTGGATAATGCTCTGTCATGGGAAGCTGTCCTGACACTGCAAGATCTTTGGCAGCATCTATCCCTGGCCTCCATGCATTGGATACCAGCAGCAACTCCCAACTCCTAGTTTTGATAATCAAAAATGTCTCTGGACAGTGGCAAGAATTCCCTGGGAGATCAATTTGTGCCTGCTTTGAAAACCACTGCACTGAAAGATTTCTAGGTATCTTTCTTATTCTCTCATATCCTGTTACCTGAATCATGTGTCCATACGCAGCCAGGAGGACATTTCTACACGAAGGTACCTGTCCAGGGAGCCATCCTCTAACTCCGTCTCAGTACAATTGAATTTAGAGCTATCTAAAGCTTTTCAAGTTCAGTATAAAATCTCCACTGCGTAGATCTTAAATTTATCATTTAAATGCAAATTAGTATGAAAATAGAATAGATGAAAGGAAAAAGAGATCGGATGTTATCTTATTAAGTCAGCCTTGTATTAGGGAATTGATTTAGACTCATTTCAAACTGCAGTCCTAGGAGATAGTTTTATTTATTCATTCTCTTTTCTTTAGTAAGGCTACACTATCAGGAAAATCATGAAATTGGTTTAGAAAGTAATCTCTCATTTGACAGGCTGAGCTAGCCATAATGTGAGACTGGCTATTGTTACCTACCCACCTACAGACTCCAATGAGTAAGACACTGGGCACTGGGAACTAACAATTTCCTATGCCCTGTGGTTTATGGGCTTTTAAGGGGCTACACTTAAAATCTGCATCACTCTAAATGTCATCGTCTGGATTAGAAATAGTCCAAAATCAAATATTAGACCTATAGACAATATGTGGGAAAGCTAAGTGAACCACAAACGTCCACAGGATTTTCTCCAAATAAATCCCAATGGTAGAGATCATTTATTTGTGCTATCCTTGAAGTTAAGGTGAAATTGGCAATATTAAAATGTCAATGACATAATTATTTTTATAGTAAATAACTACAGATGGCTTTAGAGCATTACTTCTTTCCTAGCCCTATCACTATGAACTATTTATTGAATGCAATGTTAAACACTACTTTATAAACACGATTCAGGAAAATATTAAATCAAGAGCATATGGCTTTTATTTCAAAGGGTATAAATTTTGCCTCAGGTTAAATGTATACACAATTGTTCTGTTTAGTGTAGAAAATAGCCAAACGGCAAGCCAGATGAGGTCACATTTTGGGATTAAAGAGGGCTCCCATCACAAGCCTCTAACTAGAGACCCTTGGTTGCAAATTAGAATAACCTGGTGAACATTTAGGAACTATGATGTCTACATGTACTCAAGACAATGGAATAAAAGTCTTGGGGCAAAGGACTCAAATTTCAATACTAGTTTTTACTCCTTCCAAATAATTTCACTGGGGAACTATAGTTGAGAACTACGGACCCAAAGAATAAACACAGTTTAAAACTGTGCAGGGAGTCTTTGAATAGGCCTGACTGCAGCCAGACGATGGCCTCACACTGCCACGGGCTTCCTTTTATGCTAAGTGGTACATGTGCATGGCATTAAGCAATGCAGTGTCACCCAAGGAGAAGTGTCATTCATCTCCCACTTATCTTCCATCCCCATGACATTCAGGACAAAGTCTTGCTGTTTCTGAGTCTTCAGCACCTCTCTGTCCTTGCTTATTTCCTTTTTAAATGAAAGAGAATGCAGATCTAAGGTCCAGAGCCTTTGTTTAGTACAGAGTTTTTTGTGTTTGTTTATTTATTTATTTATTTAAGGTTATGTTTAAGAAGTTAAACCAATGAGTATGACATCAGCTTCCTTTTTAAATTCAAACAAGGTGAGAAACTTTAAAGAAATATAAATAAAGACATTATTTTCATATGTAGAAAAATAATATATGTGATTTTGAGATGATGAAGGTTTGGGCAAACCCTAAAATTAACTGATAGGGGATCTGAATTTGGAGTGATCTGTTAAGACCCTAACCATGCCTCCCTCACCACACATTTGAAGAAAATTACCCATTCTCTGCCCTAGGCCTTGCTTTTCTTCTGTACTGAACAAGGCACTCATCTCCAAGGCTAGCGTGGTTCTATGCATTAAGGAGGAAGGAGGGTTCGCCATCTGCATTTACCTTGTTGACATCCAGACGCATCTTCTCATTGTTGGCACTAGCAGCCTTTTCTGCTGCTTTCTTTTGACGTTGGGGTCCCCTCCCGAAGAAGATGTAGTTGACCAAAGCATATTCCAGAAGGGCCATGAAAACAAAGACAAAGCACCCCATTAGGTACATGTCAATGGCCTTCACGTAGGGGATTTTAGGGAGAGTTTCTCTAAGGTGGGTGTTGATTGTGGTCATGGTAAGGACAGTTGTAATTCCTGAAAAGAAATGACAGCATTAGGGTAACAATATTCCTACTTCCTTTTTGTTCTCAGACTGTGTGTAAATGTTAATGTATGCAGCCATATGTTTACAGGACATTATTATACACTGGCCTTGCCCTAGGCCCTGGAATTATGTGTAAGTTAACAACGTGAGCATTCACAGTTTGGAAGATGTCCTTTAGTAGTATTTTTATCTTATATGTATATACATAGTAGGGATTAAATGTGTAAAAATGTAAATTAAATGTTACGTTTGCCATGTACATAAGATGAGAATTAAAATGGAGAAGGCCATAAATCACAGGGGGAAGAGATCAGGAAATGGACACTTTTGGGTTGGTTCCTGAAAAAAAGTTAATGTTGCTGAGAAGACCAAGAACTGGAGGTCAAAAGATAGATTGAGGGCACTGGCGATAGAGAGAACTTTATATATAGCCTGCGTTTCAGGGAGAGTTCACAGCCCATTAAGGGATTTTGAGAAAATCATCCTGGGTGCACTATCAGGCAGGAAGGGAGGAAGGGTGAGAAGAATGGGAGTTAAGTAAGGGCTGCACACGGGGGAGCCCTGTGGGGAATTTAAACATAAAGGCAATGTAGAGCACAGCCAGCTCCAAGCTGGGAGACAGCACAAGGACAAACTGAATTTCGAACAATTGGTAGCAGTGTCAAGGATGGGAGAAAAGCATACAGGAGAGTAAAGGATGCCAACTACGAGGCTGTGAAACTAATTAGCGCAAATAAGGGAGATCAAGTAATTTAAAATAACAGCAACATTCTGACATCAATGCCCACATTCTGCAGATGATATAGGTGATTGCCAGCATTCAGAAGGTAGAAGTGAAGAGAAACAGAAAGCAGAACTCAGTGCTCTTCTGCTTTTGGATTAGACAATTAGGCATACAATGCCCAGATCAGTAACATATTAGAAATTCTTTGTGGAAAACGCCGTGCTGGGTCAGGCTGTAGTTGTTGGTCTAGTTAAGTGGACAGCTCTAACAGTAAAAAGTAGTCTCACTCAAAATCACAATTGAAAGATAAAAGCTTTGGGGGTTCAGAGACCTGAGTAAAGTCCAGGTTGGTAGCAAAGTAGTGATGTGAAAATAGACCAAGCTTAGAGGTCAAAATCACAGAGACCGGAAGTGGTAGAGTCATCCTTTGAACCAGGATCTTTCTAACTCTGGAAACTTGCTTTAAACACTATCTAACAGCACATCCCCAGAATTAAGTTTCATTTCTATGATGTTTGGGAGGGCACAGTTTTCTGATTTAGTTTTATCTTTCTAACAATAACGTCATAGTATTTATTTTGTTTTTATTCTTTCTCATTAAAGCTGCAAAAAATATAAATTTGAGCTTTCCTTTTGCTTTGAAGTGTCTTGCAGTTTTCATGTCTTCTTTATGTTTGTCTAATTTCATTTTTCTCTTTATCCTTTCAACTACAGATCATCCTGTACTTCATGTGTGCATTCAAACAGACATTGTTGGATTTTCCATTTATTGAAATCTCATTTTAAGGTATTTCTGAACCTAGTAGCAAATTGCTCACATAAAAAGATATTTTCAAAATTTCGTTTCAAATGTGAGTCAATTATCCACTGTTTCTATAATACAAGCAGAATGGGCAACTGGCTTTAACTCTGGGAAATAGGGTATCATTAGATTTTATTCATTCTCTCATTCAGTGAATATTTACTGAGTACATTCTCCTATGTAAGACATTCCGTAAATATATATTATAATTGAGGTCATACACACAGGGAGCTCTACGGCTTTCTCAGGGTAGGACTCACAGGGTCTCGACTCAGTCCAGGTGGCTGTCCTTCTATCCTGCATTCTTTTTTTTTTTTTTTTTTTTTGGTACCGGGGATCGAACTCAGGACCTCACACTTGTCAGGCAGGCACTTTGGCCACTGAGCTATATCCCCAGCCTATCTTGCATTCTTGAGCCATCACAATCTAACCTTCACAACAGCCAAATGGCCCCATTAAATCCAAACTTAAATCACATCACTTCTCTACTCTGTGACTCCCTATTTCACTTGGGATAAAAGCAAAGCTTTTAGTATGGCCTCTGCAGCTCTTTGTGATCTTTTGGTCCCTTCTCAGTATCATCTTTACTATAGCCCTGAATGCACTTTTCATAGGCTCCACTTGTCCCCTGCTTGGTTGTTTGGCTTGTTCCTACTAAAGGTCTTTGAATAGCCTGGAATATTATCTGCCTGATATCTGCATGGTTCTTTAACTTCTTAGTCTTTATTCTAGAAGCAACTTCTGAGAGGGCTGTCATGATCATTCTAAGCTATGCTCCCAAGCATTCTTACCTTGTTCATTTCCCTCTACAGACTCACTCTGTGATAAAATTTGCACAATTATGTACTGTCTGCGTTTCACTACTCAGAAGAAGATCGCTGTATGTGGTTCTTCTGCTTAGTGCATTGTAAGCGCTCAGCATGTTTTATGTGTATGTGGCATTGGTTTTGAACCCAGAGCCTTCACACTGAGCTACATTCCCAGCCCTTGTCTTTATTTCTATTTTGAGATAGGGTCTCCCTAAGTCACTAAGTTACCCAGGCTGGTCTTGAACTTAAGATCTTCTTGCCTCAGTCTTTCAGAGTGCTGGAAATGTAGGCCTGCACTGTCATGCTCAGCTTTAACAAATGGTTTATGAATGAGTAAATGAATGACTTTCTTAAAACAGTAATGACTGAATTGGGATCTCAGGGTTAAGAAGTCAATAATTCAATAGCTTTAAGAAAATAGAAGTGAAGATAATAAAGATTTTATAGAAGTCCATTTATCTGGAGATAGTAACAAAACATTAAAGAAATATAATTTATTCTCTTTCTCTGCTGTTATAACGTTTTAAAAAAATCAGGCATATAATTAGTGATGCTTCAGGTGATTTCCTGGTGTTCTTACTTTATTGCTTCCTGCACTCTGCATGCTGCTCAAAAACAAAGAAACTTCAGAATCTTTTTCACTTATTTGTTTGCTACACACTACATTGCCTTGTTTGACACCCAGGAATAATGAAAATATGGGAAGGAGTCCTTCTCAAGTAAACAAGCCCCAATACAAATTAAACAATTATGCAAGCAATAATACATGAAATATGTTGCAATAAAAATATCAAACTGATGAGACTAATTTCATTACCAACAGCTATATGGTTAACTAATTTTGATATGGAAGCACTTTAATTTATTTTTAATTGATTTAATGCTGAATCAGAGCACAGAAGTCTAATGGCTAAACTCTTGCAAAACACAAGGTTCCCTCAGGTCATACATCACAAATGTCTGGATAAGAAAAGTGTATGTGCACGCATACACAGAGCCAAGGCCCATATGCATTGGGAAATTGCCTACCTAATGCCACTCTTGCAGCTGAAGCATCATAATTAATCCAGAAGGAGACCCAGGAGAGGATAGTAATCAAAATGGAGGGCATGTAGGTTTGCAGGATGAAGTAGCCAATGTTTCTCTTAAGCTTGAAGCTGAGGGACAACCTGGGATAGGAACCTGAAAAGAAAATTTTAGAACATCACCATCATTAATTAGTATGTACTTCCCATTAAAGGTCCATACACCATTTGTACATTTTCCCAAAATTCAATTTTAGTGCCACGTAAAGGAAACTTTTCTCAGCAAAAGTACTTTGTGAGTGCAGGCTTTTAATTATCAGGAGTTATTCAGTATGGAATATATCCTGTACTCACAAGTACTTAAAATAATCCCTGCTGTCCTTGGTCAGCCTCATGTACCATAGTTAGGACATTTATCCTCTGCCATTGTGATGATAAAACAACTTGTCCATTCCCTCTGTTCACATGCTTAATTGTTCCTCAGTAAATATCCTATAAATTTTTTGCAAGAAAAATGCAGCATGTTGTGATCATAGGATAAAAAAAAAAAAAAAACAGTCTCTTCTGAAGAACGTGGTTCTGTGATCAGTGGCAAATATTTAAGGAATATAGGTTTGTACAGGTTTGTATGTTGTATGTATACTCTTTACTATTAATAATTTAATTGCCTGCATCAGAGTACTGGTGTAAGAGATCCCTTATCCACTCAAAGGTGAAGAATTATCCTTAGAACTTATCCACTTTGAGTGATTTATTTTATAAGATATCACTCAAAGGTGAATCCTGCTTTGGAGCAGGATTTATGAGAAATATGACTAAAGAATCAGTTTGTTAAATTTGAATTCTTTCATTATGGTGATCTGGGAAATTATTCTTTAGAGAAGATACATAGAAGAACATAATCTCACAATATGAAAGTTCATTTTAATATATAGTAGGATTCTTTCAATTTTTAAAAGAAGCTGCATTTAGTATCCTTAGGTTAAGCCAAGTATCTGAGTATGAACATAAAATCATTTCAAGAACCCATCTCCATGGTGTTGAGGATTTAGAGGACCGCACACTCAGGAAAGTTTCTGTTAGAGCTAGATAAAACTTTGACTCTTTATCAAGTAATGCACTTCTTGCCTGAAGTGGGTTGCAGTGATGTAAATCCTTAAAAGGAAAGGTAATTTTACATTCAGTCACAGTATTGTCTACTTCTTTGCCTGTGGGATTCATTTCAATGAGAAAAATATACAAAGGGATATTCCTGCAGGCTTACTTCTTATTTTCTGTTTTATTAAATTAGTATCTGGCAAATGACTTCCTCTTTGGGCTTTTACATGTAAAAATTGCGCTGGTGAAATCAAGGGTGACAAGGTGAAATCTTCCTTCCCTGAGGATAAAGATGGCACGACATCAGGATGGTCTCAGCATCTGGAAGGGTTTATAACTCAAAGGTGGGTAAAACTGGAAGGAAGTTGTAACCCTTTGAAGAAAATGTTAAATCCTCCTACTCTACTTTCTTTGGAGAATTTCTCTGTGGTCAGTCTAGGTTGAACTTCTGCTTGGCAATCCTCAGTACATTTCAAAGAACTGTGATGCATACTATGGGGTGCATAAAGTTAAAGGACAATGGTGACCCAGGCCTTTATTTCACCTTCTGTATTCTGCTTATAACACTAATCCCTTTTCTGGCAAATAACAGCCATAGACATGACCTTCTCAGCTTTCCTCCTGGAGAAGAATGAATACTAAGCTGGGCAGGACACAGGATTATCACCAGAACTGTTTGTAGAGTTATGGGCCTGCCCTGGGACACAATTCTGAGGGAAATGAACCCTTATGAAAAAATGTGGTAAAGATTCTTTCCCCTGAACCATTTTCCCTCATACGAACCTGTAGAGAAAACAACCTTCTTGGTGATAAGTTTGTAATCCACAATGGAGAACTGGGGAAGCTCAATCTTTGTCACTCCTGTCACGGCGTTGTCATCCCCACGCCAGTAAAACTCGATGTCATCAGTTGTATACCCATCTGTGAAAAGAAACATGAATACTGATTCACCAAGCAGGAACAAACTCAAGGTGAAACACTGGTTTAGAAGATGAACTGTATGCAGAATAAAAGCTACAGCTGGCTATTAAGTCAAAGATTGTGCTAAGCATTTGAAGTCTATTATGACATTTAAATCTCATACAATGATTCATAAGGCAAGTATAACTAGACCCACATGGAGCAACAGCCCTGAGAAATTAACTGCAAGTATCCTCCTGCAGAGGAAGGGGCACAGTTGGGGCTTGAACATAGGTTTATTTATTTACAATTTTCCTTGTATAAAATGTGATTACATGATCATATCTCATTTTCACATTCTTCTAAAATGTACTGTAAGAGAGAAATGACTGAAATTGTCAGTTTACTACTGAGTGTTAGCAAACTCTTCCTCCTAATATAAAATATTTGATTTACTGTATTGTAGGCCCTTCAGGTCAGAAGTGATTACCAACAAAGTAATATTTTTTCAGTATTCAAAAACATGATCTCAGGGGCTGGGGATTTAGCTCAGCAGCAAAGCGCCTGCCTGGCAAGTGCAAGGTCATGAGTTCAGTTCCCGGTACTGGAGAAAAGCCAAAAACAAAACAAAACAAAAAAAACAAAAACATGATCTCCAAAGTTGATTTTGTAATATATGTAATTTCAAGAAACTTGATATAATGTTAATTTCTACAGTACTGAAGAATAAGTATAAATACATAGAGTAAATTTTATATGTATGATACATTTAAGATCTACATATTCATTCAATCAATAGTTCTTTGATAAACACCTACTATGCTCATCACTGCACAGTCTCTGGGGAAAGATTCTATCTACACAAGTATGTTCTGTGTTTCAATTCTACTTTCAATCCTTAGGCTGGAGTAGAACCTTAACAAACGGATACAGATATCATCTTAATAAGTATTACCAAACTGTGATAAGTAGCACATGTTAGACTGTAGTGCTAAAGAATGAAGCCTGGGATGGAATCCAGTGTATATTAATAATATTTTAGAACTCACGCCCTCTCCAATTAAAAAAGTATACATTACAATGTATAAGAAGAGATACTGTATTTGTCTCTTCAAGGAACTTTTATGTCTGGATGACTAAATAGTTTACCAATTTAAGAGGTAGGCAGGGTGGATGTTGCTCCCTCAATTTCAAAAGCAACAAAACAAAACAAGATAAAAAGAAATGTCCAAACAATTGATACCTGGTACAGAAGTCTATGCTCTTTGATATGTGGGTAGTTAGTGTAACGTGGATGACCAGAAAGCCACCCCTTTGACTTAATTCTAGATGTTCAATACTTTGCCTCTTATTCCTCCAAAAAGGAGTTAAATTTCTTTCAGAGATAAATGGAAGCAAATTATTTTTCTCACAGAACCATGATAATTTTTACTTTGAGAAACTGCGTCAGCTTTACCATAGCTCAGGAAGTGATGATAGTTTCATAAATTGACAGTATTTATTTTTTTATATGAGCAGTCATTTTTACTTGATGCAGAAGTCATCTTTTGAAAGAATTATTAAGCATTTGAGGCTCTGGTAACACAGTATAGGATTTTGGATAATAGTTAATGATTTTTTTAAAGGCTGTTCACTTGCAAATACATGAACTATATGTAGAAATCAGAATTACAGAGTTCTAATTGCTCATATACCATAAGCATTTTATTGGTGTGATCTAAACTAGAACACTTTGTTTTGATAGAGACTGTGTCATACAATTTTGATTTACAAATAAATTTCAGCTCGTAAATGTGTCTTCCAAGTAATACATTAATGACATAGTAAGCAGATTTTCAGCAAAGAACTCACTCTCTATTAAAATTCTTTATCTACTCCTAAAACATGAGGGATGTGTCTCAAAGGATGGCTGGATGCTTTTAAGACTTCATTTTTCCTGATATGGGCAACAAAAGCCTCATTCCATGCCAATATCTCAAATGCAACTCAAGTTTTCATTAATTACACAGATCTCTCAGTTCTGAAACAGTTTAGTATCAGTAACAATCCTACCTTTGACAAAAGCACACAATAAAAAGGGCAATGGATCCTCCAATCAAACTAGGTAGGTTGAAATGCATTTGAATATTGAATTATAATATATAAACACAAAAAGTTATTTGTGAGAGAAGGTAGTCATTTCACATTAAAACAGACCTAACCAAGGTTCTCTTAGCTTCCAGATAATCATATGCAACTCATTATAGAACTGCAACTGCCACTTAGTTCAGTCAATAGGGCTTGTTAACCAGACATCATTTCTTTTATGGAGAGTTAACAGCTCAAAACTGAGGACCTTTGATTTCATTATTTCATATGTTTAAGAATTCATTACAGATCTCACTTGGCTACTCAGAGACTGGCTTGAAGTTCTGAGTTTTTAAAATAAGCATCACAGTAAATATACAGTGAAGTGGTACATGAAAAATTAAGAACCATTTGTCTAATAGATGAAGATGATGATGATAGTGATTAAAATAAGTAAATAAACCTAGTGTTGTCATTTTCTTTCACTAGGAACTTTATTAAGTGCCCTACTTTCATTATCTCACTTAATCTTTTCAGTTGTTCTACAGGTGAGCAATAATTATAGAACTACTTTTATTTTTTTCTTATTTTAAAGAGAGCAGTACATGAGAAACAAACACAAAAATAGAACAGTAGCAGCATACCAGTATCACGAATATAAACAAATCGAAGCAAGAACATTCAAAGTGATACAGAGTCTCAAGACAAATTAATACAAATCAACAGTGGTTGTTACATTGCATACTGCTATCCTCAACTACATTGCTCAGATTATCACAAGTAAGAATGAAAGATTGCTCAAACCATTAAAGAGATTAAGAAAATAATTCTACAGTAAAACACTAGAGATATTAGAGTTTCATTAGACAAGATGGTAGGAGTTCACCATTGTAATTCCATTAGCACTATTTTTAAATATTAGTCTCCAGACTACAAGTTAATTATTTTTTTCTGCATTTCATGATTGAAAAAACTGAAATGTTAAACAACTTTTTAAAAATCATACAACTGGGTAAAGGATTTATACTATGAAGGTGATCGATCCCAAGAGCACATTCCTCTTCCTGGGAAATATATAGTGTTTTCAAATTTAAGTGTCTATTTTGTACAAACAAAAGAAAGAATGAGACAAAGATCCTCTCTCAGTATGATCCATAAAGGACTAAGTCTAAACTAATGCAGAATACATGTATATATTCTCCTTACCTTTCTTAGTATTTCCTTCATTCAACTATCACTACAAATCTTAAAACAGAAGCTATCTCTGGCATCTTAACAACGTGGTATAAAAGATGGATGAGCATTAGCTCTTCAGCTGTCAGAAACATGACTAAGAGCTACATATTTTTGTCAGAGTGCTGGATATTTAATGGTGCTAAGTAGGCAATAACTTTTAAGGGACTGGTGCTCAACAAATATTATTGAATAAATAAATAATTACTTAATACATGTGTGGATTGGGCAGGTAGTTTGAGTAGTTGTTTATGTGGTGCTTTATCCAGATATTTATCCACTGTGAAGATATACAGTATGCTTGCAGCGGTGTCTCTTGGCCTTAGGATGGTGCTTGGCATTCGGTTGGCACCAAACAGACATTGTCATAGTGACTAGAAAAAATAATCTATTGAAAGGCTTTAAGAATAATTCAGATATTCTTCATTAAGTATTTCTGTCTACAAAGTAGTTCTTCCTAAATTACATCACGTTTCTCATTCTTTATTTTCTTATCTCTTGGAATAATAAAAATGATATATACTTCACAGAGTTGTATTATTGACAGAAAAAGTTTTATAAAGCTCAGAATAAAACTTGGATATAATGGTCAAAAAACTTGTCTGATAGGTTTTCTTTAATAAGAACTATTGAAATAGAAAAACAGTTGCATGCCATTTTAGTTGCTATTTCATGAACCCATACACGTATTTACACTATGAAAAACTTAGCTGTTAGATCCCACTTACAGAACTTTTGAAGTGCCTGGAAACTAACAATAAAACATTATGGTTTAGTTCTTGGCTACTTCAATCTTAAAAAGGTAAATCTTCTGACATCATTTTGGTTAACCGTATATAGAAAGTTCCTAGTGGAAAGCAAAGGTATGTGTGCACCATCAGTTTTCTGAAGATGAAAGACTAACACTCCATGACCAAGCCATAGCAATGAAGTTCAAACACCAATTCAATGTACTGCATGGGATGAGCAGACCTAGTTTCTTTCAACTTTGAATTTTCTCTGGAGGAATGTATAGCAGTCTCTCAAAGTCATTAAAAACTGCAAGAAAACATATGCAAATTTATATGACCTGACTTTCAAAGCTTTTATAATAATAGTGCGTGAAAATAATTAGATTTATTTTATAAGATATCAAAGGGAGGATGTACTGAAGTTCTTCATTAATATATCACAAATGAAACTTTTATATTTTACTCATGTAATTCCAGAAATGGAGTCATTAAATTATTTGGTATCGTTATCATTAAAAATATAACCCCCATAATAAATTCAGATGGCCAAGAATAAACCCAAATATAAATTTGTTGTCATACACCTGTAGGAATTAAAGTTACATGAATGTCAAAGTCTGTTACCAGGAAGGAAAGATATGTACATTTATAACTTTATAAAATAAAAATGATACATTAGTACATTTATAACTTTATAAAATAAAAATGATACATTCTCTTGCAAATATTATAAATATGTACTAAGAAGGTCTAAGGAGTATAAATGCCATTTTAAACATGTTCACATAGGGACTAAACACATCCTTATAAATGTGACATTATTAGATAGGATGGTATTCTTTTTATAGATTTTTCCCTTTTTTACTGTCAGCCAACATGTATATTTTGTTTTTTTCAAAGTGAACATTTCATTTTAAAATAATTTCACTGTGCCAAAAGTTTGAAACTATATTAAGACATTAAACCATGAGGACCAACACAAACATCCAG